ATTACCGAAACTTTTCCAGTTTGGCAGCCTGAGCACAGAATCTATTCATCTGGTGTTTACTTTGCTTGTGAAAAAGAGATTTTTTTTTTTACATGTCCAGAAAACAAGAGTGTAAAAATACTTAGATAGGTAGATTGGCAAAAGTAAGGCCTCTCATGAAATCCATTGAAATTAGTGGAAATATTTCTATTTACTTCCCTGGGGTTTGGATTAGCTCTTTAACGCTTCTGTAATAATTATTTTTTAACACAGTCATGCTTGGAAAATTATTGCTGTGATTCACTGGTTCTGTGATTGACATTGTGCTACTGCTCTCAGTACTAAGGCTAAGGCGGTATGGTTTCTTTGGTATGTGTAGAGAGAAATAATAACTACTGCAAGCTATGTCTCAACATAATCTTTGCTGTCATGTATCATGCCTCGCCCACCACCCATCCATATTACAAAACCAGTGGTCCAACCAGCATTTACAAAATCATCTCAGGTCAGCTTTTCACTTACCAGTAGTGATTTACAAAGAAGCTGAAAATAGCTGGTGCTCTTACTCCTAGTCTCAACTATTTTGCTGTGAAAATGACCAAACATGGGATCAGTTCAAGTTTCCCAGCTTTATGCTGACGTTGCTTTAGAATTTTTGGTACCCTGGGGTATTATACCAGGATCACAAGCTTTTTGTCCAACATTACTTTTTTAGTACTGGTTTCAATTGTATTGCTCTGAGTTTTAGATGTCAACAACTACACTTTTTCATCCCTGCATCTTAATGTTTTCAAGTTTTGTATCTGAAGAGTACACTTTAGGACAGGTCAAAACAAGTACCAAGTATTTGTTGACATTTTTATCTCCAGCTTTCCCATATTTTTTGGATCTGATACCTGCCTGCTTCACACCTGAGCACATGTATCCATCCTGTTGTCTTTTAACCATCCCTGTTGTTGCAACTATGCTGTCCTGCCTCCTCTTGCATCACCATAATGCCACAACAGAGTCGGTTTGGAGAGACAAAAGGCTTCAGAAAGATCAGAGCCCTATCTCTATCAGATAGACGAGTGCAGTCTGTGCAGCACTCAGATTGTGGACAGATAGCCAAGGCCAGACTTTCAAAGATTCTGAGCTTACTTGCATATTTGCAACAGAGGTGTGGCAAATGTACTGATAACCACTAACCTAAGATATGTTCTTGTTTTGGTTGGATCACCTTAATTGTCCTGCACACTTTTTGGTGTCTTGCTTATTTTCTCATGAATCTGTTGTCTGCCTCCATCCTACAGCTCCCAAGTCCCATCATCTCAACCTTTCCTTTCCCAAAGGACTATGCCAAAGGGAGTGTCTGATGATCCCCATCTACCATAGCTATGATTAACTGCCACACTCGCCATGCCCAAGAGTTATTTTGCACGAGCAGATTTTGAGCCATGTGTTAAATTAGGTCATAATTTGTCTACAGTGGTTGTGCCTCCAAAATGTGATACCACTTCTAGAAATGAGGAGAGGTGCCCATTTACACATGCATCACCTGTGAGTGACTTTGGATTGTTTCTTTAGGAGAGGAAATCCACTGTTTTCCCACAGCTAAGGCACACAGTCTGTTTCATAGCAGAATTATTTTTCAAGGGTGTTCTTCCTTTTCATATTTTACAACCTTTGATTGCACATCCAGAGCTTTGGCTTCCTCTCCAAGCAGCTGCCTTGCCAAGCCATTTGAATTGTGACAGTTTCTGAGCTGGAATTTCCAATATTTGAAATTAGGAACTTGGCTAAACCATTCACCGAAAGCCTTTGGGTAGCAGTGATTTGTAAGAACTATGAACCTGGGACAAACATGAGTTCAAGTTCTTTGGGCAGAAGGGCTATTAAGTATACCCAGAAAATATTCATATTGCTTGATGACTTTTAAGGGAGCATTTAACACGTAACGGCTGACAAACAGTTGAAATTAAGTCCTTTAAGAATGACCAAAAGGTTCTCATTATGGTACGTTGTGTCAATAGGGATCACGGGTTTTATAGATCTAATGGAGGAACTACAGTTGTATTCAAAGAGCTGTAGCAATTCTCTTGACTGTTTTGGTGAACGCTTGAAATACCACTCTTCCCCCCTCCGCTCTTTTTTTTTTTAAACACTGCCCGCCCCAAAAAACCTCAGGTAATTAATTGGAAATGACCCAGTTGCAGTATTGTCAAAGGTCTGACTAACACCCATCAAATCCAGGAAACTCAGACTTCTTGAGCGCTCCCCCGCTTACCTCGTGCTGTTGTGCTTAAGGTATTACTGGGGTCTACAAAAAGTGCACGATCATATATACTGTACCATATGTTCACAAATGCCAATGCACAGCAGCATGAATTAAGGATAGGATTTCAGTCTTCATAATGAAGAGCCTTGCTTTTATGAGTTCAAGTCAGACCCTTCACGTTATTTTAACATAGATTTTGGTGTTTAATTATGTAATAAGATTTACTGCAGTCATATAACAGATGTTGATTCAGGGGCAGTGTTTCTCATAAATTAGTTCTGAAAGGATTTGTTACTTCTGGGTCAGCAGATAGGTCCAGAGTGCAAAGAAAAAGGGGAAAAACAATAAACACTGAGTTGAAGGGTTTCTTGGGATTCTTTCTTCAGTTACATATCCACATATTTTCATGATCTTAATGACTATAGCCACAGGAATGTTTGCTTTAACACTAAAGATGGCTCAGGCCAAAACCCTATATCCAAACATCTGCAAAGCATGGGAAAGTTCAAACTTCGGGGCTCTTTATTTTATGACCCTGGCCGTTAATTTTTCATACTAATATGACACATTTTTTCTAGGGCTCTGCAGTGGGAATCACTGCAAACCCTAGCAGCACCCGTAAAAGTTTCATCTTCATGTGTTTGTTGTCAGACTTTGTGTATGAAGTGCAGCTAAAGACCAGTGTTGGCCGAGGTAGTTGTCGTCACATACGTACACTGAAAAGGAGCACCCACCTTCCTTTGAAAATTCAGCCTTCCCATGTCTTTGGAAGCAAATCATATCAGTACATCCCAGACCAATACATATCTGGTACATCCAGACATGCTAGACCTCTTTATAATACACCCTGCTGGTGATGTTATCCATCATATAACTAAAACCACACAACATTATATTCATTCTTCTATAGTTGTGGTTAAAGGAGCTATTCCATATTAAAATATTTTTTCCTCCCCTCTATAATTTAGGTGCAGACGAATTCCTTTGAGACTGAAATCATACTCTTTATATCTTATTCTACTGAGAATACTTTGGAGGAAAGGAACTGAGGCACATTTAATAGTGCTGCTAGCGCTTATAGGGCAGTTTTAGCCTGCCAAGTGTTTTACAAACACTGGTGAATATTCACAATATCCCCCCAGTTCAGGGTATGAGAGACTGAGTGACCTTCCTGAGGCCGTACGAGGTGTTATAGCTAGAGATGCACCCATAACTTTGTTCATTCGCTGCATGCTAAGACTGCTCAACCTATAAAACCATTTGCTGAACTTCATCGCCTTTGTCTTGGAAAGTTTATGGATTTCATACCTAAAAAGCTCCTCTAAGATGAATCCCAGCTATTAGTAAGAGCTCTGAAGTATGTCCCTGAACAGCAATCATACAGTGGCAAACTGTGAGCCCTGGACTCCTTGCAGAAGTAATGTGCGAGAGGAGGAAGAGCCCGTGGCCAGCTGCTGAATCTCGGCCAGCAAAGCAGCGCTGAACCTGCTCTGTGTAAGCGCTTGGACACAGCCCGGTTCCCGGAGGCTCCCCACGCTCCGTCCCCGCCACAGGGGAGGCCCTCGCGAGTGCTGATACACATTTGTACCAGGCAGCGCTGTAAATTCAAATAGCACTTTCCAGACTCAGGCTCAAAACTCCTCTTTTTCAGGAGTAATTCCATTTAAGTCAATGGATTTACACAATGGATTTACTGCTGCCAGAAGAGAATCAGGCCTGTAGCAAGACACACATTCTTTGCCAAGAAAATCTCAGAGCTAACTACTTGAATTGTGCAGTCGAGCTGCAGGGAGGTCAAGTGGACAGACGACGGGACTGGGACATACGGGAAGTCCCTGGTTCAAACCTCAGCTCTTCAAATGTCGTGCGGTGTGACCTCTGGCAAGTCAGTTCATCCCTTATACCTCTGTTTCCCCGTTTTCCTTTGTCCGACTCGGCTATTTAACTTGTAATTTGTTCCAAGAAGGGTGCTTCACTTCACATGCTGGGATGGGGCACTGACACCTCTCCTCCCCCTTGCTGGAGGACAGTCTCGAAATCTCTATTTCCTCACATCACTGACCCTCAGCTTCAATATCCACAAGTGGTGTTACACGAGACCGTCAGCAGACAGGCAGACCTGTCGCTCGGTTGGATAACACCATCCTAACGCTGTCTTGGGAGGACTCTGACACTTCTTGTTCTTTCACAGTCAGGGTTGGGAGTTGGAAGAAGGTCCTCATTTTGAACATTTGCTTCACAGTCCTGATCGCTAAAGATGCTTTAAAATGAAAGCTTTGACCCTTTGGAGTGGGGCTGTGAGTTTGTGATGAATTCAGCTGGCACTGAATTTGGGTGACTGGCATGAAAAGCCTCAAGGACTGGAATTTGGGTATATATGTGTGTGGGTATGCATGTGTGTGTGTGTGTGTAATTTTCAGAAGCAGAGTCAGGCCAAGAACCAGCACTCCTGAAAAGCTCCATCTGTTTCTTTCAGCTCCTTCCCACAGCAGCTTGGTCGCTATCAGTGGCAAAAGTCCAGAGTCACTTGTCAAGCACGAAGCTGCCAAAAATCATTAAAACACAACGGTCACCCACACCCTGTACCAGCCAGCTGTAAAACTGTTTCAAAGAGGGTCTGATAAACACATATATGCTTATAATAGACCAGATAGTCATGTATTTCCTATGTGCTTGAACCGAACAACAGCATGAGATGCTGCAATCAGATATTCTTGCCCTTTTCTGTTGTGGCAACTCGCAAGCCTGTTTGATGGCAAGGGGAAAGGGAACAAAGCAGGTGGCTAATGGGCTGTTTTTCTGTTTCAGTGGAGCATGACAGAGAGTTTCACCATCAGCGCTGCCACTACCGAGAGTTCAGGTTTGATCTCTCCAGAATCCCAGAGGGGGAAGCGGTGACGGCTGCCGAGTTCAGGATATATAAGGATTACATCCGTGAACGCTTCGATAACGAAACGTTCCAGATTAGTGTCTACCAAGTACTCCAGGAGCACCCGGGAAGGTGAGTGACCCACAGGCAAACCCCGATGAAAGCGCCAGCACAGTATGTTCCTTCAAAAAGTTATGTCCAATATTTTTAGAAATGCTGGTGCCATCAAACATGTCTGAAGAGCTGGGCTTAGGCATCAGGGTGGTACAGTGAAATCTCAGTCAACGCTAATGCAGCGGGCACGTAGCTGCCGTGTCTGGTCAGCTGCCGAGGGCAGGGGGAGAAGGTGCCCTGTGAGCCTCCACGTGCCCCAAGGAGCATCCCGGCGCTGCCACTCTTGTCCCCGGGAGCAGCCAGGAGCTGAGGAGCAAACAAGCCTGGCTGTGTGCTAGTGCAGGAAAAGATCATAAACTCAGAGTATTTCAAGATTTCTGGAAGACCTACCCTCTTCCTCCTGCTGCTTATGGATCCTGAGGTGGCAAACCCACATCCAAATGCTTTCTTTCTAATTATAGCTTAATTACTAGCCTTTATTACCGAAGGCGTTCAAGATCCCTAATTAACAAAGACAGATGACACCATGCTTTTTATATTGACTGATTGTTTTGTGTGTGCAAAACTACAAGATGAACTATTAAATCCAGTCCAAGCAATTATTAATGTATGCCAAGCTCCCTGACAAATCCTCCAGGGAACTTGAATAAGAACATATGTTCAATTTTCTCATCTGTTTTTAGTTCCAATTAATCAGCAATCCCAAACCATTTATCAAAGGCACTTAGTTTCATTTGCACATATTTCTTTTACATACAATCCTACCAAAAGTGAGATTGCATTTATTTACATGAAAAGTATTTACAGTCACATGCTTGTCAGAAGTTATCCTCTAGGACTACTAAATATGGGGTAATAATACTACAGCCCTAATTTAGGTTTATGAAAAGAGAAACACTAGGGATTTAAAAAGGGAGCTTTATATTTTTATTAGAGCTAGTAAAAATGCAGAAAAAAATGTTTTGCATTTTTTGATCCATTAAAATATGACAGGAAACCTTATCAACTTTTTTGAATGGTGAGAATTTCTACCAGCTTTGCTGTATGGTAAAAGTATTTAAATACATATGTGTTTTCTTCCACAACTGAAATTCCAATTCTATGGGTCAAAACTCATGGTTCTCTTGGCATTTCTAATGACACAATTATTTGCAGGGTTTGGAAACTATGCTAACATTAATCTATTTTTATGAAACAATGATAATTCAAACTATACATTTTAACCAGGCTTTCTTAAAGGAGAGGGCAACAAGCCACAAATGTGCGTAGGACCCATTAGATGCTGCTTACCACAAGCATTTAAGTTTATTCCATCTTAGGCCCTTCCAGAGATAGAAGCCTGCCTTTGCTGTATTTCTTGAGTAGGTTATACAGGTACAAGCCTGCAGGGATGACTTTTCACTCTTGGGAAAAGCAGAAATAAGATGTGCGTTGGCCTCACCAGTGTGTCAGGGCATTAGGGAATTGCCAGAAACCTGTTCTTGGAGCAAATGTCCTTCCTCATCAGATGCCAGGGAAGTTCTCCTTCAGATCCTGATTAGCAAGATAGGTGCCCCCTAGGAAACTTACCGACAGAGTTAGGATGACATTTCTTACCTTAATTTTAAGATGATACATCCATAGGTTTGTTAAAGCTAGGTTCAGAGAGGGCTGCAAGGTACCCACTGGGAGCGTCAAGTGTTTCTGCAAACTGTCTCCTTCACAAATTCTTATTCCTAAAGCAAAAAATGAATGCAAAGGGCAGGCATATACGTGAACCACTGGCTGGAAGAGGTGAGGAATCTTGCTAATTATACAGATCTTCCAGCTATGAGATTAGATGCAATTTTACAGCGTCATATTCACCACAGGAACACTTTTTTTAATGAGTGTTCACGCACATTCAGCCTTTGCATACATTTTGGCACAGGCAATGGTGAGTTTTGAACAGTTTGTCCTGAAAAAATATTCCTGTTAGTTTGGATTGACCAAAGGTAAAAATATTGTCCCTAACATTTGTAAAAATATTTGTTCTTTTTCTGCATTTTTCCACTGACATTTTCCAACCGGCTCTGTCACAGACCAGTCATCCAAGTCGGTGTGTCATTGGGCAAGTGGAGAAAGAAAACAAACTCTCTCCAATGTTGATCAAAAAACACCCATTCACTTTGATGCTTCCTTGGCTGTTTGTCTCATCCTGAGCAGGCTGGAAAGTCAGACCCATCTGACGTTGTTAGCAACAAGAGCAAAACAAAGCCAAACCCTTCCCCCCACGCAGGCAAGAAAACCTTTCCTCGCATTTGGCTTTATAGATTCCTCCCCCTAGAGCACGGCAGGTACAATGGCCAACAAAAAACCAAATGGGTTTCCCTCTCCCTGTGCTCTTATGATGTTACAAGAGCAGCGGGATCTCCCAGGAGATTGCTGGAATTGCCTTTCGGGATCTGAAACAGCAGGCATTCTCCCGGCCTGTACCCCCTCTGCAACGTGCACCTTGCACCCTGTTTAAGTGCACCAAGGCACAGGAGCTCAGTGCCAGGCTCCCCAGAGGTAGCTACAGCATCGCCTCTCCTTCGGAACACAGCAACACGCAGCAGAGATTGGGACAGCTTCTAGGGCCACAAAACCAGCACGGGATGCAGCTGAAAAGCCCAAGCTGAGGCTGACTGAAGATTTTTTCCTTTGAGGGTGAAGAGACCATTAGATATACTGAAGGCTTGATTTGCAGTTAAACCTCAGATGAGCCCCCAGTTTGGAGGGTGTGATGGTGTGCCCTCAGTTCAAATAAACCATAAGTATGAGCAGTTCAACAATTAATGACTTGCTTTACGAGTTCAGACAGGTTGGCAGGTATCTAACCAGCAACATCTCTTGTCTGCAATTTATTGTCGGTGAAAAATACAGGCATAGGTCTTTCCAGACAAACAGCTGCACCCACAGCTGACTATTTCTGAAATCCTGCCCCTCAATAGTACCAACATTTGAACACAGTGTGGAAGGTCTCCTCCATCCTCCTGCTCAGTCACGGGCAGACAGACGCCTAACAACCTGGGCAGTAAAAATGAGAGCCCAGCTCCATCCTGTGTAGTAGATGGGATGCCACTCTGGACTCTGACTAACAGAAATTATAGCTCTGTCAAACTGAACATATTATTACAGGTGTTTATAGGAAACCAGACTAAAATATCAAATATTCTTTCTGACCTTTCCAAATCTATGAATTCATTGCTTTTCAAACTGGCAACATCTCCTTTATAAAAAGGCACGTACAGTATTCGTTAGGCACAAAGCATCAGCTATTCACTTTAAGCAAACAAGTACATTCATGAACAAAAATGTTCTTAATATCATAAACACTGTGAAAACAGTTGATGTTTTGACTAATATAACATGTCTCAAAGCTTTTGTGTGCATAACAAAGTCCAGTGACTCATGTCCAACTTCTGTTTGGTCTTCACGGTTCACTCGCCCAAAAGCCTGGGAAAGA